GTATGTATGTATGTATGTATGTATGTATGTATGTGTGTGTGTGTGTGTGTGTGTGTGTGTGTGTGTGTGTGTGTGTGTGTGTATATATAGTTTCAAGTTGTATGCATATGATTTATCATAACCACGTCAAAGCAATACCTCCCACAAACACACCACCGTTATAGGTTGCATATGTTAAATGGTGTGAGAAAAATCTTTAATGTCCGGGACCTTCTCAGTTGTTTGCACATATGTCAAAACAAAGTTCTCACGAGCGAATAAAAAAGACCGGCACGCTCGACAGTTATGACATACTGTCTCATTACACATTTCTAAGTTATGATTACATGTGCATACTAGCCAAACATCCGCATGGTCGCCATTGTGTGATTTTTTAGTCTGTTGAAACGAACCGAATTCCTTTACCGGAAGTTCAAAGCAAGCCACTGTCTTCCTGTGATCGTCTCGGCGGAAGATGAGTCTCCATAAGCAACTGAAAGCACGCTAAGTGACGCCCAAGTACAAATACTCATTTCCAAATATGGTATAAATTAGTTTACGTTATAACACACTGAACAGTCGCTTGATCTCAAAAGGACATTTCATTTTATATAGTTAGGCTCTGGAAACGTCACAGCGAAAACTAACGACCAATGAGTTATCAGTGATCGCTCACCCACTGCCGTAGCTGTTCTCCCCCCCCCCCTTTTATGGACTTCTAATAAAGTGGGTATACGTCTGGGAGTGGTTGAGTGAAATATAAACAGTTAAGTTCAGGCTGTCTTCCGTAGGAGGGGGTTGAACTTAACTTTTTGTCCAATTATATCCAGATAGCTATGCGTATTAATAAAAAAGAACTAAACAAAGGCTCTAACCTTTGCTCCTGATAAAGAAGGAACCGTTCTTCTATTTTTGAAGGGTGGGTGCTGTAGAGTTAATAATAGCCTTAATCTCAGGAGAGTTAAAAATTTTTTGTTTTTTTCCCCGTAAGTGAATTACATCACATATAGTCTTAGAGTCCTGGTACAAACGTCTCGCAGTTTCATTATCTACCACTGCATGAGAGACAGGGTCTCAATGTGACCCTTAATATGAAACGGAATTTGATTTTAGGTTTAGAAAACGCTGAGAAAAGCTTGCACTGGTATCTATATACTTCATCCTTAAAAAAAAAAATTAGTGGGTCTCGCGATTTTCTGAGACTCCCACTGTCACATTTTATTAGAATCAGCAGGTTTTTCCGTGAACGCTGCTGATCTTAGGTACCGGGAAGCTACTATCGCCTGTGTACCGCAAATACTGTTATCTCGAAGATACAGCGCAACTGTAAATGATTACCAATGAAAACATCCGATTTCACAGCGTACGTACACTTGTGTCCCTACATTTTAAAAACTTGTATCATACAATTATTCTATTCACAAACTATTCACAACTTAGAGATTATGAAGTTAAATCAGTAAAATACTGACCTAATGTGTCAATGATGTTTCAAACAGAATAACTGTTCCAGAAACAATTAATAACAGTCAGCACTTTGAGTTCGTACAAGTTTAAGTTAAAGTTTTCCTAATAAATTTTGCGCACACGGTCGAAGATGTGTACCTCTTACTTAATGTTTTTTGAACTGTACTACAAGGTTCTGGTTTCAGTTTTTTTTTTTTTTATAACAACAATACAAGTAGGCATCCTATGCTCGTTACATACATACTTTCGTGATTTTTAATAGTTAATGAACATACATTTCTGAATAATAGAAAATAAATCCTAATATGCGAGAGATTTGTTTCAGGTAAATATGAAGTTGACAAATCTCGCATGATAAAGTTAGATTTTACAGTTTAAAAACCACTTAATCATTGCACATTTTGTTAAACAAAAAACAATGATTTGTTTTGGGAACGTACATTTGAAAAACAATAAAAATGGATTAAGAAAGAGAGAAGGGCGAGAAAATCACTCGATAATTTTGCTGTAAAACTAAAAAGTGAGCCACCTTAGATTAGAAGACATCTTTAAACACAATTAAACTTGTGACAGAAGCTAAAAACATAGTACTTAAATTAACAAAAGTTATAGTTTAAAGAAGTGCGAAACACTGTAGCCAAAACGCGAAATTAGATAAGTCGAAGGTCCATCGGTGTTTGTAAATTTCTTTTCACAAAATTTTCACTAGTCTACAGCTAGAAGATTATTTGTACTTGCAAGAAAATTGAGAGAGAGAAAAAAAAAACGATAGCGGAAAATTAAAGATTATATTTGAAGATTATTTTTACCAGATTCGAAACTAAAATTTAAATACCAAACAAGAAGATTCGACTGTTAAAAAATGGCCGACTGGTTGTGACGGCAGCCACTCTCAAGTTTAAGTGCTCTACAGTACGGCTCATACTGATACACTGTAGACCGCACCTGCAATACCTAAGTTCAGCACACGTACACTGCTTCTTATAAAGTAAACATTACATGGGAAGCGATAACTTCCGGGAACAGTTTACAAATTTTCACTAAATAACCAAATACGGTGCCTGTAGGCCTCCAAGTAACCGTCGAACTTAAAAATCATATAAACTAGTTAGGGGCAATTCTATTTTTGTGATGTTTGGAAATGTACGAACAAAAAAAATCAAATTTCTGCAGTAAATATCACCTTCACAATATGGCTTTCGATTTCTGGATCGCTGAAAAGTTTATGGTAAGAATTCCTTTTAATATTTGATACCAAAAGAATGTAAAAACATAACAAGTATGATAGAGTCCAGAAGTTAACAAAACATTCCAGGCCCCTAGTTTTGAGAACATTATTGCAAGTATTACTTAAAAATCGCTCTCATTGTCCCGTTGAAAATGTTAAAAAAAACACCACCATCCAAGTACGATTTTTTTTTATACACAATCTTACTGTAATAATAAAGTTAATAAGGTAGTATTAAAATTCAAATATTTTAATAGAGCGCCACAGGGCACGTTTCTTGTAATGGCACGTTGGAAATGGAATTATACAGCGGGAGTTTAATTATGTGACGTTTTCTGGTATCAGCTTGTCTACCGATATTATTAATTGGTATCATAACTGTCAAAAAGGAATGCAAACTATACATACCCACTTTTGTTATGCTTATCACTCATTCTACCGTATTGCTTAACTTTAACTTTTAGAAATTGCCGGCTTTTTACGCCCCACCCCAACCGACGAGTTAGTGCTCGTGACTAGTATGAAAAGCCCAACAGGTGGTTAAACTTGTACAAGTAACAGATAGTAAAAGTATAACTGCATACTTAAATTAATAATGAATAAAACAACAACAAATATTTACCTATGTTAACTATTTTAATCCCTTCGTCATTCTGGAGAAATAGAAGAGCCACGGAGACGTTTTCTAGTTTTTGCGAGCGGAAGTTAGGCCTTTTGTTATGCCTTGGCAGTTTTTTACCAGAGAGAACTTCCACCAGAGCAATTAGACGCAGACCGTCAGACAGGTCGGTATCAAGATTACCGATAGTTTTGTTGGCTGTCTTCAGATGTTCGTTAGCCCATCTCGTAAATGTGTTTTGCTGAATTTTCTTCCATGCTGCATCCTCAGCTAGCTCGCGCTCCATTTCGTCGTCTTCGATCTCGTCTTGTCCAGCAAGTCCGGACTGAGTGCCTGGAATTTCTCTCCAGCCTGAACTCATATTGTGGTCTCAATGGTAGCGTCACCTGGTGGAAAAGATTTTAAGTTGTTATCTGATTATTGGTATTGATATGTTCAATAATATTAATTTATTATATAGTAAGAAACACAATTAAGAAAAGTTGTAGAGATATAAAAAAATAGTGATTATGAAGTGTTCTAAAATTTGTTCAAGTCTCATTCAGAACTTCATATTCTTTATATATAATACATAATAAATCTTCGTAGTTAAATAGTTAACATTTTTTGCAAAATATTTAAGCTCTTTTTCAAACCTAACTGACATTTACATTTCTGACTTATATTTTCATCTGGTATTACCATGAAAATTTTAAAGCTGGATTTAGTGAACATCATCTATAGGCCTAATCAATGTTATTATGAACGCTTCCGCCACTAATTAGTGAACAAACACTAAAAACACATAACTGCAGCAAGTTTAGACTTGCTTTTGTTGTAGTATGAAATAACAACAAAGGAATTCACCAGCTCCAGAAGAAAGTATCATCATATAATATTTTACTAAAAGTAGAATATAAAATATTTAGAGACGATGCTTTAGCATACTTGCAAATCAGTGTAACTTCACTGCGAAATAAGGGTGAACAACATTTTTAGCGATTATATTTTGATTCAATCAATATTATTTCATGTTGGTGTTATTTATTGTTGTGACCTCACAACTTGGCTAAATCTATCTGTCATATGAGTTTTGCAAAAGCTGTTGCATTCTCACTGATGAAAATTATTGATTGGTACATTATATTTTTCGTTAGACTTACTTTTAATAAAATTCTACGGATTACTCTGACGTAATTTAACGTATAAACTAAAAATCCAACAGCTTTAGTGACCATTACTTATTACTTCTAGTACTGCTTACTTGTTAGTTATTCTTACTCTTGCTTGTTACAGTTCATGAAGTCACAGAGATATACGGCTTTAGCTTTCCTGCAAAAGCTATAACCACAATTCACAACAATATGAAATAATATAGACAACTTTGTCTCCAGTCGCAAGACATAAAATAACGAATAGTTGACCAGAATATCCTATATCAACCAGTCATGGCAGTGGAGCTTCATTTAATAATTCTTTGATTGATATTGCGAGTGTTAAAATATTTTGAACTTCCAGAACTCACTTATGCTTTAAAACATTATGACGATTTAGAAGTAGTTATCATATTTAATACTAGCTGGACTACTTGTCCCCCGGACGGAACTTATGTAAATTAATGATTAATGAAAATTTGAATGTCTCTCCGCATGGACCCAACAAACTTTCATGCCAAATTTGGTGAAGATCCATCAACAGGGGCCAAAGTAGTGGTAAAAAACGCAAAAACGCCCATAAAAACCGCAAAACGCAAAATACAAAACTGAAAATTTGTATGTATCTACCCATGGACCCAATGAACTTCCATACTAAATTTGGTGAAGATCCATCCACAGGGGGCAAAGTAGTGGTAAAAAACGCCCATAAAAAATGCAAAACTGAAAATTTGTATGTGCCCCCGCATGAATTTAATGAACCTCCATACCTATTTTGGTGAAGATCCATCCACACCCTGCGAAGTAGTTACATGGACATATAACAGACAGTATTATTATATTTATATAGTTTTCTCAATTAACTAATAACTTTTTCTGCGTGTTTTGAATGTTTTTATTGTAAAGATGACAATACCTGTAGTACACGTTATATAGATCTGGAGATTGAATATTTAACTGTTTTGGAGATAGTATTCGATTGACCTTAATACCGGCCCGGCATGGCCAGGTTCGCATCCCCGTCCCACCAAACATGCTCGCCCTTTCACCTAGCATGAACATTTTCATTAGAAACATTTTAACACTCTTCCACATACCTAAACACAATCAACTTTTGTCTGTTTGTTGAATATCTCTAATTCTGAAGTGACAGACTAGAGAGAAGGCAGCTAGTCAACACCACTTACCGTCAAGTCTTTACCAACGAAACGAATAGTGGGATTGACCATCACTTTATAACGCCCCCACGACTGAAAGGGCGAGTGTGTTCGGTGACGGGATATGAACTTGCGACCCACAGATTGGAATCGAGTGCCTTAACCACTAGGCCAGGTGAGGCCTTTCACCTATGCCAAAATACCTCCAAAATTAAATCTTCGCAGCTGATTTACGGTAATATAAAATAATTTTGAATTTTTATATGTTCAAACACTTGTTTTGGATTATATACATGTTATAGGTTAATTTGGTAAGTAAAATAAGTAAATAAAAAAAATAGTAATTCAGAGAAACAGAAGTCATATAAAGTTAGAAAACTCTGATATGAATGAAAACATAAACAATTTTCATATGTATAAAAATTGGTTATCTACAGTTTGTCTAATTAGTCGCCAGGTTATTAGTGGTAAAATTTTGTAAAGTAAAAACGTATTTTATGATTTTTTTAACTTTTGAAAATATTTGGTAAGAATAAAGAACGATTTACACAGCTTGTATTTTAAAAATTGAAAGAGCTTTAAAAAATTTATTTACATCTGACAAATCTAGGTTCTTATTAATAGTTTATATGTGTATTCTTCCACGACAATTAAGAAAACCTGAAACTATTCTTATTAAGTCGCGAGCTTTTATTTAAAAAGTCTGAGATAATTATAAGGTTGAAAGGGTTATTCTCTCTGTATTTGAAAATTATTTGTCGATATTCGTTGGGTTTAGTTCCAGTGCTTTTATTTTTATTTTGTTTCAGCCCTTCTTTTCTTATTATTCCAATTTTAAGAGTATTTATTAATAACGTATCATTTCTATACCCAAATCTAACAGTGGTTTGAAAACAAAAACAGAACATAGAAAATGTTCATTAATAACCAATAGAAAACTATGTCTACCGATTATTTTTAATATTTTTTCAGTTGTTGTTTGTATTACCTTTTGACGTTATTTTTTACAAAGTCCAGTTTAAAATGTACAGCACCTGAAGGTATAAATATCCAGCTTTCCTTCTAAAATAACCTTAGTGTGTTAATTTTTTTTTTTTTTTTTGCGCAAAGCTACACAAGAGCTACCTGCAAAACAGCCGTCCCTAATTTGGAACTGATTGACTAATAAGAAGGCAGCTAGTCAACAGCACCCACTGACAACTTTTGTCTGACCAAATAGTGGGAATTAACTATCACACTTATGACGACTTACCTCTTTAAAATCGGGAGTTCGTGTTTACGGCAACGAGATGCTAACCGTGAATTCTCGGATCCATAGTGAGGCCATGCTAATTACTAGGTCACGTCCAGCCCAAAGTGTTAATTAGTTACACCCTTAGATGTTGCTAACAGCGTAGGTACTACACTGTACATAAAATTTTGATCACTATCGATATTTTTCCATTCTTGTTAGTCTTCGAACTATACTGTAGCAACTAATTCAGGATCTTATTTGTTTTGTTCAAGAGTTAATAATAAATTTTTTAGGAGTTTGTTAAATGTACTTTGAAGAGGTAGGAGACCATACAACATGTTGTATGAGTTACATTAGATAAAAAATACGATAACATGTAACATCTTGTGGTTAGGGCGCTCGACTCGCAATCAACGGGTCGCGGGTTCGAATCCCCATCCCACCAAACATGCTCGCCTTTTCAGCCGTGGGGGCGTCATAATGTGCAGTCAATCCCACTATTCGTTGGTAAAATAGTAGCCCAAGAGTTAGAGGTAGGTGGTGATGACTAGCTGCCTTTTACTGCTAAATTGGGGATGGATAGAGCAGATAGCCCTCGAGTAGCTTTGCGCGAACTTCGAAATAAACCAGTTTGCTCATTTTGTTATCAAACATTTCGGATATAGTTTATCTCATATACAGTCGTTATAGGAACTGTTCAAATCAGACGAAACTGATACTTTCTTTTATCGATAACATTATACCCACAATTGAGCTCAGTTCATGTGAAGTACACTAATCATCATACCTCCTACTGACATACAACACAAAAATCCTGGGTTCGATTCCCCATAGTGGACAGAGCACAGTAACTCATCGTGTAGCTTTGCGCTAAACCAACGACCTCAAGCACTAACTTTCGTAGGACGTACGCTATCTTCCATTTTTCTTATTTCAGGTCAGTCTGTGAGTGTGTGTGTAACCCCCCTGCTGTGCAACACTATCATATACGGGCCCGGCATAGCCAGATGGTTAAGGCACTCGACTC